GATGTTAATATAAAAGACGATCAACGACACTATATAAGGCTACTTGTGTACTTTTCTGTTTGATTCCAATAGATAAATTTGGAAAATATAACAAAATAACTGAGTTATTGATTTTGGTAAATTTCAACACCCTGTATCTACTAAATTAGTGAGCCTAAAATAAACATAACCATAGTGAAATTTGTAATTAATTTATTGTAGTTGATTCTGGTGGAATAAATATGTTGATATTCTTGAAGTTTTTAAAGGTATAGGCAAAAAAATTAAAAAAATAACCTTCTACCCCCTCCCCTACCGCCAGCTCATCCCCCACCCTCGGGGACTTTTAGTATATTTATCAGGACACCTCAATGAATGACTATACCAAATTTAAAAACTACACGAATTATTTCGGCTGAGCATCAATTTTCAGCCTAATTTTCCTGAGCTATACACAGAAAGCAATCAATTTACTTGAAAATAAATTGCGGTAGACAGTGGAATTTCATTGAAGGATGCCTTTTGATCCAAAAGCTGAACGTAGTTGCAAATACTGTATCCATCGGTATCTTTTCATGGATTCAGATAAAAATATATACAATTACGTAAAAAACTTCTGACGTCTCCACTTTGTTCACGCCTTGTGAAAGCGGAATGAGGACAAGTATCTTGGTTGGATGGCGCTCTATAGTCGATAGATTACTGGCCTTTTGAGTACTAGGAGGTTCTACCGGCTTCTTGGTCAACAAGTCAGTGCCGTCCAACTTGGCGTCGGATCAAAATAGAGATAAACATGTTTGTTTCCTACTACCTATTCAGTGATGTTTAATTCTCCTAAAATAATCAGGTCATCGTCATTATTAGAATAATATGAATTTATCATTTCTTCAAATCACGCATCGCAAGCATGAGCATTTGAATCAGGCGGAATATAAATAAGAAAAATACCAATAACCAATAACTACTAGACAGAGCAGAGCTTCCATTCATAAAATAGCCTTTGCTATGTTGACAACATGTTTGTAAACAAGGGGCTGTGGGAGTTCAGGACGAATCATGGTGGGGACAACTCGATTTTTGTAAGTTCCGCCTCCTCGAGCACATGATTGGACGATACAAATAATAAAATAAATAAATGTTCAATCACACACTATATCAGGAGAACGATGATGCTTAAAATATGTACAGTGTGACCATTCAAGTCCGCATCATAAGGGACATTTTTTTAATCCTCAGTTTGGGCCAATTTAGAGTTCACGCACAGATCACCTACATACAGATGCGAAAGAGCGGTGAATTCGTGGTTCAAGGTTGATTTAGGGGACATACGCTAGCCGCACCAATGTCGCATCAATAAATTTTGAACATATTTATTATATAAATGCGGAAGCTCAATAATATAAAATTATTTCTTCAATTGGTTCACAAACAAACAAACAAATATTCTTTATATAAACAAGAAATCATGCGATCGTATATCGAAAAATAAACACATGTGTCACATGAATATTTTTGTAATGCTTTATTTATTAAATACCTGCAAAAATATGTAAACACAACAGGCTGGAACACGCTCACCTCACGCACTCGTGCGATCTGTGTCTATGCGTCTGGGGGCTGGCCCCCTTGCGGAGCCGTGGTTTCGTTGCTTTGAATCGTCGACGCCAAGGATACTTACTTACGCATCTGTATTAGGTGATCTGTGGCTCACGTTCATTTTTTCTTTGAAAATAATGCAACATGACGTTTACTTTTTTTTATTGACAATCCCGTATACCTGTCAAATTTGACATATTTTCACGAAAAAATAAAAAAACCTTGATTTTGTCAGATAACAATTTTTATCTGATTCAAAGTTGATGAATCCTACTTTGAACCATTTAAATATGGAACACTCATAAGCTAAAAAGGGTATACATATTATTAAAAAAAAAAACTATTAAGTATTCAGAAAAATTCCAAATAGGTATGTTAAGAAGATTATGTCATACTTGATGCAAAGTTCTATACATTTGAGAGCAGAGAATTGAAAAAAAAACAACACTTTAATCCAACATAATTTGAGACTTTGACAAATAGGCAATTTCAATCTAACCCAATCTAAGCTAATTTCCATCGAAATTTAATTTCAACTTAACCCAACTATTTGTAATTTTTCTTTGAAAATTTTTCAAATTTGAGACGTACATCCGATTGATAGAAAAAAATTGTCAACCTCATTTTGCACTATTTTCGAAGCAGAAACTCTCCGGAAACTCTAAATTTGCTCAAACTAAGGAATACAAATATTTTCCATATGGTGTGGACTTTAATGGTCACACTGGACAATATTCACCACACTGATATAAACATATCTTATATGGCGGTTCTTGTTCAACGTTTATTAATCATAATCGCTCATGAAAAAGGCAACACGGTAATATGGGCATATACACTAGAGTCTAGACAAGTTTCAGTCAGAGCCGAAAGGTCATAAGACATAGACAGGAAGCCTTATAGAGATCATGATGTTTTTTTTTTAAGTACGTACATTCTGCACGGGAAAATCTGAAGACAGCTCATGGTACACAGACACTCTAGGAGAATGATCTAGCTGCAGACCCATTGAACCCCCTAGTTGCGATGCGCCTGATGTTACAGACAGTGAAAGCCTGTGAGTTTTTTTATATAAATAGGGCATATCGTAGAATCGCAGGCACCATGCTCAACATCATTATTATGAAGTCTGACATTAACATTACACGCAAAGATAATGGAACTATAAAATACACACAGCGTCAAAAGTCTTAGACCCCCCGGTATTTTCAAATTTATTTAATTTTTCAATTGAAGTAATCTTTGTTAAAAAATGTTTATTTCTGAATGTATTTTTTGAAATATCAATATCTTCACAAAATTGGAACAATTAAAAAACCGAAGTGTAAAAAAATCGCAAGCTTTTTGTAAATTCAATACAATAAAAATTGATTTTTTTTTTTGTTTTTAAACTAAACATCAATAATTAGTAGTCAGTATGACCTCCTCTTCTATTCAGCAACGTATTGACACGACGCGACGGTGCATTGACACAATCAAGCGGTCGATTGTCTCCTGAGGAATATTGTTCCATTCCTCTACTGCTGCTACAATTAACTCCACAGACCACCACACTAATTTAGACAGCCAACGGCCATATACCCCACTATAACACTAAAAATGTCCTATTGTGGCGACATCTGTAGTCTGTCCCCAGAAAAAATTTTCAAGTGTGAAGCAAATAATTACAGGTTTCTTCTTTTTTGCGCACTGAGAAATAGTTCCCAGGATAAATGTTATTAAAGCATTTTAAAATACAATTATTATTATTTTGTAAAGTAGTTCTTTTTATAAAATCTGCACAATTGTGCAGACTTATGGAAAGAAAAATCAAAAAGCCGTTCCAAAAATCAGTTATTGTCAGAACTTCTTTACAAAGTAATTGTATTTTGTTGTTATTGTTTTTCTTCTGCAAAAATTGGTTTTAAATATGTAATAAAATAAATAAACACACAATAAGAATTAAGTTGGTATGACAATGTAAATTTATTATACAGGGTGTTTCAGAAATGGTGTTACAAACTTCAAGGGCAGATAGTATTCATGGAAATAATTAAAAAAGTTCCTATCGATATAGGTCCGGAAATGCTTTGTTTCCAAGATACAGGGTAATACGTTTTTCAAAAAAAAATTGTTTTTTATTAATAGCCCAAAAGAGCTTTAGCCGATTCTTATGAAATTTTCACGATTTATTTCAACCATTATTAGACATCTACTGGACCAATTAGATTTGATCCAGAATTCCCAGGGGTGTACCCAGCGACCAAGTCGGTTGTTTTTGTGCAGAAAAAAATATCACTCTGTAGTTTTTGTACGATTTTTATTGAATATTCAGATAGATATACTAAAAATACAAAATTTTTGTCTCTTAAATTTTTCAATTATCTCGCTCCGTTTTCGCGGAATAATTACAATACCATACTTCGGCACGTCTCTGGACTCCATAAGGGAAGATAAAAATTCATAGGAATTAAGGTACATCACCCCATTCATTGAGTGACAAGGACATAAATTTCATTTGAGGTTTTTTTTTTGTTTTGTTTTTATAAATCAACAAACTCCGATAAATTTTTAATCAATTCCTAAGCATTTTTATTTTTTCTTATGGAGTTCAGAGACATGCCGAGGTATGGTATTGTAATTTTTCCGCGAAAACGAAGCGAGATAATTGAAAAATTTAAGAGACCAAAATGTTGTATTTTTAGTGTGTCTATCTGAATAATCAATAAAAATCGTGCAAAAACTACAGAGTGATATTTTTTCTGCACAATAACAACCGACTTGGTCGCTGGGTACGCCCCTGGGAATTCTGGATCAAATCTAATTGGTCCAGTAGATGTCTGATAATGGTTGAAATAAACCGTGAAAATTTCATTGAAATCGGCTAAAGCTCTTTTGGTCTATTAATAAAAAACTATTTTTTTTTTGAAAAACGTATCACCCTGTATCTTGGAAACAAAGCGTTTCCGGACCTATATCCATAGGAACTTTTTTAAACTATTTTCATGAATACTATCTGCGCTTGAAGTTTGTAACACCATTTCTGAAACACCCTGTATGTATTTTTGTGTTATGTTGGCAATAAAAGTAAATTTGTCACAAGAAATGCATCTCACATTTAATTAGAAAATATAAGTAAATATGTACAAAGACACAAAGAAAATATTAAATTAAATAGAGCTAAAAAAAATTCTTGAAAAATTTAAAAAATTAATTACACATAACTACTGAAAACTATAATATTAAATATATTTACAACATATTATCTAATGAGTACTTATATAAAGTACTTTACGCACGGTAGTAGAAAAATTATTTTTTATAATTCTTTCTACTTTTTTCCCATATTTGTAGGGCATGTTTTTTGATATGATCAATCAAATCTTTATTTGTGGTCCGAGACAAAAATGCTGAAAACTTGCTGTCTCTGCCTCTTAGAATTTTATTTACACTTTTGCACCACCAACCAAACATCTTGTAACCAGTTTACACAGTCTTTCACCTAACTTGTGATTGGGACAATTAAGTATATTGAATGATAGCTCTTCAAGCAAAACATTGTGTAATATTTCACAAATATTGGACAAGGTACAAAATCTTGGAATTAAATGAAATAAATAATTTAACGACATGGAAATTAAAAGATTACCAGAATCACCAGGTCTTCTGAGGTTTCCTCTTTCATATTGCCTGGCTTCAATTACCTTATCATCTTCATAGTGTACACCGTGTCTCTTTAATAAATTATTACGACATGTTTGGCAGTTACTTATGTCTTTCGACTTAAATAACATTTTAACAATAGCACCACTCATATACTTAATTGTACATGTGCCAATTCTTGTTCTTTTTCTCAAAATAAGGCCCTTCGGTATTTCTATATGTGTTGTGTTTTTTAATGAAGCAACACCAGCTTCAATTTCCCCAGTTAAAAAACATCTTAAATCATCCAAGCTTATCGTTTGGATATCCTTTTGACAGTTTGAACCAGCCGAATGAGTTGCCATGCAATTATTAACCACTAAAGATTTAAAGGAGCCAATAAATTGGGAACAATCAGGATTAACATTTCTGATTCCATGGCTTCTAATTTAACTAAAAAAGTTGTCTAGAGAATCCTGATTGAAAGCACCACTCAATACGAATTTAAATCTTTTCTCTGTCAAAAGAATATTTACCAATTGTGAAAATCCGTCCATTGTAAATAACAAATTTTTTAAACTGGGGATTGAAACGGGAACCAATTTGTCCTGCTGTCTAGAATGAAATTTCATCGTTCTTACAATTTTTTTGGCATCAGACCAGAAGTTTTGGTGTGGGGACTGTTGATTTATTGGACAGTTCAATGGTTTTGCTGCTTGGACTCTGGTGAACCTTGTTACATTGAAGCTGTCAAACAATTTGTCCAAAAAAAGAATTAGGTCACTTGTATCATCAGCTTTTCGGGGCAGATTAAAGTTGTCTTTATTATCTGAAAATAAAATACAGAAAAAATTAACAACACGCAGGTTTTTCCAAATAATATTGAAAATTAAAATAATACAGGTTGAATTTACTCCAACAAATATTGTTAAAATTTGAGACTTCAAGCACATATTTAGAATTTAAAGTTATTACATACCCCATTTTGTAATCCTTTTCATGAGGGATCCTAGAGTATGGCTGAACACCTGAGTACAGTTTTTCACCTTCATCTTCCTCATTTTTGCTTCATAAATATGGGCGTCAGTCAGTTTGTTACACAGTCTACGGGTGGGCTCCGATATATCCAATTCGTGAAATTGGCGTATGTGGGCCCACTTTGCTATTTTCTTTTCTCCATTTATTATAAAATGCAATTCCTTATTTAGCAGATTGTTTCTAATACCTTTAAATAGATGGGGGATATCGAATAGTGGTATTACCTCTTTGTCCTGTACTGTGAAGCCAAAATAAGGATTAGTCTCATTTCTTTTTTAAAATTCTTCGTTAGTCTCCTTCAATAATAAGTCTACAGCTTTACGATTTGTGGAGCCTTGATCACATATGGTAGCAACAACATCTAATCCTATTAGGAAACACTCCTCTATAATATTTTTTATCATATTTTTGAATATGATAGAGCCAATAGGACCATTATTGAAGGAAAATACAACAGTCTGTTTCCACTGTCGATAGACTCCCTTTAGCATAAACACGTTGGCATAATTTGCTATAACTGGTTTCCTTGACTCCCCATCATCTTGAAAACCTAAGATCATGTCGGAGCTTCGATCATACTTTAATCCAGTGACAAGTTCTATCTCATCAAACATGAGGATGCAGGTTTTTTCCTTCTCATCTTTCATTTTTCTTATTTGGTTTTGAAATGATTGAAATATATGTTTATTAATTCCTGTTTTCATTGGAAGTTTTTCGAGAAGTTTGTTGAGGGTACTGACAGATGGGAGAATAAAAATTTTTTGAAGTAATTTGTAGCGTTTCCCGCTGCCTTTCAATAGTGATAATGCTAAAATTTTTTCATCCATACCGTCTGGATTTAGGTGCAAGATGTTGGTTTCTCACTTGACACATTATAAAGTTATATGTGGAATTGTTAACACACTTCAACAAATTTGAAAAGCTTGGTGTTTCCATTAGCCTTTCTGCATGAGCTAATCTTGTATGGTAGGACTTTATCTTCTTTTGCGTATAACTCATATTGACGCTCCACTTTTTTAGCATAGTTTAAAAGTTTCTAGCTTTTGGTGTCAAATCTGCAGCACGGGAAATATTCACTTGTCCTAATATTGAGCTTTTTTTAATACCTGAAAATAAAAATTTATTTATTAATCCTAATTCATGAGAGAGAATCTTTGCATTTACCTTTTTTAATAGCAATAACTTTTGGTGTAGGGCTCTGGATGGAGGGCTTTTGTCCAGAATCAGAAATTGAAAGCTGTGCTTCTAAGGGTTCTATTAAATCCTCTTGTTCTTGTGGATGAGATGGAACAGGTAACACAAATACTTTGCCAGCATCAGGAACTGCATAGTCTTGCTGTTTAGATGTACCTGGTACAGGCACACGATATCCATTTTTCAACCTTAAAAATTATTCAAGTTTTATATTATTATTTATTCAATTGTGTGAAAATCAGGAAAAACTTCAGTAAGTAGTTATTCTATTAGGCTTTATATTTACATGTTATATTTTCAAATATAAGGTAAGTAACTAATACATATAAAAAATTGAGTTGAAAATGTCTACACACAAACATATGAGAAGAAATATGTTCATTTGAATGAAATATGTGTTCTACTAATTTCGTATATTAAATGGCAAATAATTTAGGATATTCATACCTTTAAAAACTCTTAGCCGTTTTGCAGGAACAGGGCTCTCGTCTGAGCTCTCATCTAATTCAGTAGCGGACTGAGCAAGTTGAAAGCCTAAAATAGATGAAAAAAAAAAAACATTTATTTAATTCGAATAATTAACTAATTAATAATAAAATCGCATCGCTGTGGAATAAACTCCCTGCGACGGTTTTCCCTGCAGGTTACAACCTGAACCGTTTCAAGACCAACATACACCGACATTTCCGCGCACCTGCCGCTTCTCGAGCGTGATAGGACATTTCCTTGCGAGTGCGCATATCCGTACAAAAAAAAAAAAAAAAAAAAACTTAAAACAAATATTATTGGGAAATATTCTCATTTTTAATCTCGATTTAATATTAAGTTTATTTTTAACGGTAAGTACCTAGATAGGTACTTAATTTAAATTTAATAACTAAAAATAAAATTGGGACACCCTGCATAAATTATTTTAGTTGGTAAGTGGTAATAGTTATCTCTAACAGACACCCAACTTATATTAATATATGCTGGAATGGGTCTTCCAGGTAGGTACATAATACCTACTTAATAAACACATTAAAATGCAATTATAGATCTAATATAGGTAGGTAGGTACATTTTTAATTTAAAATTTTACCTGGTACTACCTAACAGGTAAAAGTACTTGTATATGAATTAAAATATGATTTGGGGTTTTCAAAAGTGCAATTAAATGCAAAACACCTTGGTAATTTGATCACAAAAATGGGTTTTTGAAGAACTTTGGAATAAAGGAATTAAGTTCCACGACCAACGGAGTGACTTTTAAAAAAGTTTATTTTTCGAAATAAAGGCCTTAACTAGTTTACAATACGTTTCTTAACTAAGGTGAACAATCAATTACGAACAGCAGCGAGCTTTGACACGAAATCAATGTTACATATTAAACACAATCAATTCTTTTTATGAAAACAAAGTGTACATTCAGCATTATTAATAATAACATTAAATATAGCCTAGTTCACGGATATTTCTTCTCCACCCTTAGAATTTTCAACGTCCTCGTTGATTATCTTCTCCAGAGTTTTTATAGGGATGGTTTTCAAATATTGGTGTTTTCTCCACTGATATATTAGGATGCTTAAACCGCATACAAGCAGGATACAGATTGTCGTTAAAATGAAGTAGTGACTTTGTTTTGGGGCAAGGTTTTCAAAGTCAATTGGCTCCAGAAGGTCTTCTTGAATTTTGGTTGGATCCTCCAAGTGTCTGATTTGTAAGTTGATGGAAAAATTACTTGACTGGAGATCTGTCGCTGTTGGATAATCAATGGAAATGTTGTTGATGGCCAATGAGTACTTTTGTTGGCTGACTTTGAATGATGGAACAATCCTGAAGATTTGCTTTTTGGAACTGGAAGCAGTCTTCGAAAACTGTTTCTGATGTTTTTGTACAGAACAGTAGAGATTTTTTGTGAGTAAGGGTGTGGACTTGATAATTATTTTGTACGGTGGCATATTGACAATTTTTGGGCAATGAGCAGCCGCTGACAAGTGGGTTGGAGCATATCCATCTGGAGTTGATTTCTTCACAGTTTTTATACCATAGGTCGTTGCAATAGAATTTACTAGGACTAATCAATATTTTGGATTCGTTATTCGGTATAGGGTATACAATATTTAAGTTACATAATTTTTTCTCAAAAATTGGTATCCTTATTGCAAGAATTGCCATTTCATCTAAGATCAAGAGACCAGTTTTGCAAATTAAAGTTAATTCTGAAACATGTTTTATAGACCATAGGGCGTTTTTAGGATAATGAATATTTAAGTATTGCCAAATTTCGTTTATTTCGTTCAGGCTCAGAATTTCTAGATCTAAAGTCTGCAGATGTGCAAAAGAAAAAATTCGTAAGAGTTTTTCTAAAAATTGATTTAGGTTGGTAATTTGTATCAAAGAATATTATAGACTAACCGTCTCTAGAAGTCTCGTCCGTATTCTAAAATTTGAGACCTCGATGGACGCCGGCTTTAGCCGGGGTGGACGCTGGTTAGAGTTTATTGCCCACTGTTGCCGAGTTGTCGCTGTTGTAGGTGCTAGGTGCTTTTGGTTCAGCGGCGATAAGCCGGCGTCCGTGGGGAGATGGACGCCAGACGCGTGCCAAGAGGAATTCGGAAGTTCACAATATGTTTATTTTTAATTAAGCGTCTAGGCGATCAATCCGATTCGGTGGCAGCTGTATAAATTTGAAAACACTTATTTTAAAAATGTCTGGAAATATTTGCCAATATTACAATTGCGGTGTTAGCCGACATAATTCTCAACGGCGATTATTTAGATTTCCATTTAAAAATGAAGATCTGTGTAAACAGTGGATTATTAATTGCGGTAAGTTAGTTTTGTATATTGAAATTTTCATATCCCATTTTTTTGCGGAAGAATTAACAATCATTTGACCGGTGGTTGGTTAAAGGGCCTCTTTTAAATATTACCCTAGATTTACGAAAAAAATCAGATGTTTATACAGGATGTCAGAAAATTACCTGGCAGGACTTTATTTGAAAGGGGATTCTATAACCAAAAATCTCCCTGATGGGAGACAACCATAAAGAGGTCGTTAAAAATATGCATGAATGAATATTTTATAATAAAACATGCCATTAAAAAAAAAAACACAGGCTCTACTATAAGGGTTTTTAGAGTTTGAAAAAGAAAAACTATTGTTATATATTTTTTTTTTGTTTTAAGAAAATCCTTCACTCGCTGGACTAGCTCCTGAAGATATTCGAAATAAATACCTGTGCGAGAATCATTTTACAGACGAAGATTATAGGACTGAAAAAAAATTTTACTTAAAAAAAGATGCAGTTCCAAAAGTCTATGAAGCTTTAAAGGTTTTAACGCCAAAACGAACTTACCAAAATAGACATATACTTCCACTTTGTAGTCCTGAAATGTCAGATTCAAATTCTCAAAAAAAAAAACGACCTAAAGAAAATCTAGATAACTCTTTTGCAAATGAACTTTCAGATTTACCAGATGCACAATATACTCCTCGTAAAATTGCATTAAAACAAAAACTCAGATGTAACGTTTCAAAACTAAAGAATTATAAATGCCGTCTAAAAGAATTGTCTCAAAAAGTTAAAAACGCCAGAAATTTTAAATCTAATCTTATGCCTGCTATTACTGTTTTATCTAGTATTGCCCAAACGTTTGTTTTAATGCAATTTCGAGGTTCACGAAGGAAAGTGTGGAACCGCAAAGAGCAAGAATTTGCCATATCTTTTTTCTATAAAAGTCCAGCAGCATATTGTTTCTTGAGGCGGAAGGGAATCATCCTACCTGCAGTAAGTACGATTCGAAGATGGATTTCTTCAAATCTCTTCAAAGCTGGACTTGATGAAAACTGTAGGGAACATCTTCAAATGAAATGTGCTACTATGAGTAAACAAGAAAAAAAATGTGTAATTGCGTTTGATGAAGTTAGTATCAAGAGCTGTCTAGAATACAATAAAAAATTAGATATTATTGAAGGTTTTGAAGACTTTGGTCCACTCGGTAGAACATCTAAAGAAGCATCACATGCATTAGCGTTCTCAATGAGAGGTTTATATTCCAATTGGAAAATGCCTATAGCCTACTTTTTTTCCTATAACTTGGCACCTTCAACTATATTAAAACAATTAATTATTTATGTTACTAATGAATTACAAAAAATCGGTTTCATTCCAAAAGCTATTGTGTGTGATCAGGGCTCTACTAATCGATCAGCGTTCAAATCTTTAGGAATAACAAAAGAAAGCCCATTTTTTATTTCAAAAGATCAAACAATTTTTGCCATTTTTGATGTCCCCCACCTTTTTAAGAGTCTTAGGAATAATTTGCTCACAGGAACTTATAAACTTGAGGATAAGATTATATCTTTTGATGTGATAAGAAAAACCGTAGAAATTGATAGAGCATCCAAAACAGCTAGAGCATTGACAAAAATTAGTGACAAACATTTAAATCCAAGTCCGTTCGAAAAAATGTCCTGTCGTCTAGCCCTACAAATTTTTTCCAAAACAGTTGCTTTTGCTATCAAAACATGCGTCGAATTAAATTTAATTAATAATAAAGAAGGATTAGATACTGCAGAATTTGTTCTCACTTTAAATAATTTATTTGACGCCTTAAACAGTAAACGCCTTTATGACAAAAATCCTTTTAATCGCGGCCTCAGTGAAAAAAATCCTGCGGTTTTGGAAGTTCTAAGAACTAGCAGAGATATGTTTTCATCTTTAATAAAAGTGTCTAATTCAAAGCCTAAAAAATCAGAAACAAAATCTATTCTTAGATATAGTAGACCACCATGTTTTGACGGTATGGTGCAAACAATTAATGCAATACTGGCTCTATTTGAAAATGAAAAGCAAGACGGAAATCATTTTATTTTAACTAATCGTCTCAATCAGGACTTCCTGGAGAATTCTTTTTCCATTATTAGACAACGTGGTGGATGGAGTCTGAATCCCTCAGCAAAATCTTTTAGACTTGCTTTTAGAATCCAATCAATAACTAATCTTTTAAAACCGTCAAAGTTGTCCAATTGTGAGGAAGATTCAGACATCCAACTCACACAACCAACTTGCCCCAATATATTATTGGCATCAACATCAAAAGCTCTGCATTATCAGAATGAGAATAAGCAACCATCTACTAGCTCTACTGATGCATTTTTAGAGGATCAATTATTAGACGATACCGTGTCTGAATCTAATAC